TTTCTACTTACACCTGGGCGTGAACACGGACCACATTGAGTTCGTCACCCCGTCACCGCGAAATCCGGTCTAGCCAACTACGCTAGCGAGCCGGGCATAAGGTTTCAATTTAGAAAAGGCAACAAAAATGTTTAAAAGTAAGGGTTTTAGTATCAGAAAATAGAGTTTTTCACACTAAAGGCGAACAGGAAAATTTTGGATATCGCAACCTTTCGGCCTAGACTAACTGGCGCTCAGTGTATCATGTGTTTCACATCACGACGGCCGCTTTTGCCTACCCCATAATATTGAACACAGACCACAAGGAGTTCGTCCCCAGCGTTTCCAATGGGCATCCGGTATAAACTATAACCAGCTACGCTAGAGTTATTTCCCTTCTATCACACATGTTTAGAAATAGGAACAACATTTCGACTCTGGCCCTTTATTTAAACAGTAATGGAAGTGTCGTCCCTTTCGCGTGTTGAGTACTGGGTGCTAGACAAATATTTTTATAGAGCAGTACATTTCCTGGTGCTTATTTTTTGTTGGGTCGACCTGGGGTTCTGGCCGAATGGTTAGAACACAGGGCTCTTGTGTGGGAGTCCCGGGTTTAAATTCTCGGTAAGGATTGGGAGTTGTTTCAGTCGGTGGCAAAAATAAAATCTTCACCTGCGCAGTCCGTGGCCACAGAACCAGCCCTAAGTCCTCTGGCCCAGAGACCTCACTGCCTACACCTGCACAGTCCGTGGCCACAGAACCGCCCTAAGTCCTCTGGCAATAGAGACCTCACTGTACACCTGCACAGTCCGTGGCCACAGAACCAGCCCTTTTCCTGGCCCAGAGACCTCACTGCCTACACCTGCGCAGTCCGTGGCCACAGAACCAGCCCTATGTCCTCTGGCCCAGAGACCTTACTGCCTACACCTGCACAGTCCGTGGCCACAGAACCAGCCCTAAGTCCTCTGGCCAGAGCCTCACTGCCTACACCCTGCACAGTCCGTGGCCACAGAACCAGCTCTAAGTCCTCTGGCCCAGAGAGAGACCTCACTGCCTACACCTGCACAGTCCGTGGCCCACAGAACCAGCCCTAAGTCCTCTGGCCCAGAGACCTCACTGCCTACACCTGCACAGTCCGTGGCCACAGAACCAGCCCTAAGTCCTCTGGCCCAGAGACCTCACTGCCTACACCTGCACAGTCCGTGGCCACAGAACCAGCCCTAAGTCCTCTGGCCCAGAGACCTCACTGCCTACACCTGCGCAGTCCGTGGCCACAGAACCAGCCCTATGTCCTCTGGCCCAGAGACCTTACTGCCTACACCTGCACAGTCCGTGGCCACAGAACCAGCCCTAAGTCCTCTGGCCCAGAGACCTCACTGCCTACACCTGCACAGTCCGTGGCCACAGAACCAGCCCTAAGTCCTCTGGCCCAGAGACCTCACTGCCTACACAGCACACGTAGTGCAATACAGGCAGTCATTGGGAGTTTTTTAGCAGTTGACATGGGATTCTCACTGCAGCCTTAGTGCAGCCTTATATCAGCCTCAGTGCAGCCTTAGTGCAGCCCTAGTGCAGCACTAGTGCAGCCTTAGTGACCCTTAGTGCAGCCACAGTGCACCCTTAGTGCAGCCTAAGTGCACCCTTAGTGCAGCCTTAGTGACCCTTAGTGCAGCCACAGTGCACCCTTAGCGCAGCCCCAGTGCAGCCTTAGTGCAGCCTCAGCACAGCCCCAGTGCAGCTTTAATGCAACCTTATTTTCGCTTCAATGCAGCCTCGATGCATCCCCCTAATACAGCATCAGTGCTGATTTGAATCCAAGCCCCTGGAGAAATAGATTGATATCCCGCTTCCGTGCAATCGAGGATGTGTTACAAGGACTTTTTATGAGAACAGTCAGTCCTGACCAAAATAATGTAATCAGTACTGCGGCTGGTGATGTTTGACTCTAGCTAAGGAAAAAAAATCTGTTAATTTTGTATGTAATGACTGGGAGAGTTTATGAAAAAAGAGGCTAAGGGAAAAAACACATATTCATGTCTGTGTATTTATGTGTGTGTATATGTGTGTGTGTGTGTGTATGTGTGTGTGTGTGAGAGCGCGTTGGTGAATGTGGCCTAGACGTTGCGAACAGGCTTCGTTACGCCGGGGTCCGGGTTCGATCCCAGCTGCAAACCGAACTGGCAGCAGACCGCCTTGTATTTTTTTTCGACATTGGTATTGAGCGTCGACGATTTAGTGAGTAACGGCAAACTACTTAAAGTAAATTTGCCCAGAAAAACCACAACGGTCAAAGAATGATATTGTTATTCTGCAACGTCATGTAAAAGACACGCAATTAAATATGATATGTTTATATATTGCTTGTCCTATACAGAGGGAGGGAGAGAAAGAAAGCGAGAAGAGACAGGAGAAGACATGGAAAGTGAGAGGCAGAGTAAGAGAGTGAGTGAGAGAGAGAGAGAGAAAGAGAGATAGAGAGTGAGCCAGAAGAGAGAAGAGAGAAGAGAGATAGCGAGAGAGAGAGAGAGAGTGAGAGGCGAGCATAGAGAGGCTAGGTGAAGAGGCAGGAGAAAAAAAGATAGATGGAAAGTGAGAGGCAGAGCGAGAGAGTGTGCGAGAGAAAGAGAGTGATGGAGAGAGATAGAGAAAGAGAGAGAGAGAGAGAGAGAGAGAGAGAGAGATCTACACGCACACATAAAACACACACAGACATACACTACTATAGAGGCTAGGAGAAGAGGTAGGAAAAGAGAGAGAGAGAGAGAGAGAGAGAGAGAGAGAGAGAGGAGAGAGGAGATCTACGCACACATAAAACACCAGACATACACTACTATATGTGTAGGACACTAGCATGGTGCCCTGAGTAGAACTAGCATGCCAGTCGGGATCAAACCCCACGACATCCGCATTATCTGGCGGATATCCTGCCACGGATGGGTGGGTTCAGTCACTTGTGGGGTGCCACGGGTGATCAGTTGACCTGGCCACACACGGGGTAACAGACTTGCACACTACTCCTGACCTTGTTCTGTCTCCAACTAAAGATGACAGAGAACGGCGAACTTACAACCTAAATGTGGTGAATTGTGTATAAAGCCAAGACATGAGAGGCGCACCCTCAGACAGAAACTACTGAATGGAGGTGTGGGTACAACCCCCCCCCCCCCAACAATAACCTGGGGTGGGGCAGAAAGAACTTTTGTCTTGTTTAGTTATTAATAATAATAATAGTGTGTTAAATTGGCAAAGAAAGGTAATGATAATATATCTGACATAATATGCTTTACGTAAACAATATTTCAAAATGGAAATTCTGTAGATGATCAGAAAAAGAGGCCGTGGGGGGAGGGGGGTTTGGTGGGGGGGGGGGGGGTAATTATCAAAAGGGGGGGGGTGTGCGGTAATGTAATAAAATGAGAGGTGTAAGCCTATCATCCCATCACCCACAATCCCATATCCCATTAACTCACCCCCCATATGTCAACCCATTAACTCCCCCCCCCCACTCATCCTTCCCCCCCCCCCCCCCATTTGCCACACCATCCCATCCCCCACCATCTCAAAAGCATGTTGATTTATGCGTAATGACGACGATGGTGTGAGGGGGAAAAAGGGGAAAGGGGGCTTGGGGCGCCTCTGAGCCTCTACTCATAAGTACATGACACTTATTAGTAACAGTATGTAGATTTACCATTACAGGTTTAGATTTCTAGATTTGACTTCAGTGTCAAACTCGTTGTAACGGACGTGAAGACAAACATCCATTTACTCAGACAGTACGAGTTTCATTCTTGAACTGAGTTCCAGCCACTTATGGTTTAAAAATAAGTAGCACAATGTATCAATAAATAGTTACTGGTGATTTTAACATAATCAGCACTGTTTACCAAAACAACAGTCACTTGTTATTTTAACAAAAACAACAATGTATATCAATGATTGCTACTTTTTATGTTAACAAAAATAGCCCTGTATATCAACATTGATACTTGTTAAGTTAACAAAACAACCCTTTATACCAAACATTGCTACTTGTTATGTTAACAAAAATAACCCTGTGTATCAAACATGGCTACTTGGTTATGTGAACAAAAATAACCCCGTATAGCAAACATTGTTACTTGTTATGTTTACATATATAACCCTGTACATCAAACATTGCTACATGCTATGTTAACATAAGTAACTCTGTATATAAAACATAACCACTTGTTATGTTAACATAAATAACTCTGTATATCAAACATTGCTTGCTACTTGTTATGTTAACATAAATAGCACACGGGTATGCATAACGCAGAGACAGCCCTGTGTCTGTCAAAACAGGTAAAGTAAATACAGGACCTTTTGCCACAGCTTCAGGTGTGCTGGGGCGTATATTTCATAGAACAATCGGCGCTTGGTGGGTGATGTGGTCAGCATCACGCCGGCCGCCTTGACTTGCCAGGACTTTTAACCGGTACCCACTTAAGTCTGGGTTGACCTGGGCGCCAAGGTCATTGATGGAAAAAAAAATCCAGCTCCGTCAGGACTCGAACTCACGATCTTCCGATCCGCAGGCGAGCGGCTAGCGTCTACAGCACTGAAGCTCTTGTCTGTCAAAGAGGTTTTTTAAAAGAAACAGACACATAAGAATTATCAAACACAGTCGAGACGCTGGCGCGTAACGACTACTCACTTGACTTCCCCTATTGGCCCTGGTTATATTAGGGCTCGTGTGCGATGGCCTGTTGTTATTGACAAGTGTGTCCATCAACGGTGTACCACACGTTTCTGTGAGAACAGTTCGTTGTTATCAAACACTCGCACGTGTCGACAGTTTAATTCAATCTCTGCTGTTTGTGGGCTCTAGGTTGTGTCCATCCGTTATAATTTTTAGGATGCTATTACTAATGTGGCACATGAGGGTGAGATAGGTGTTCTACAGTTCCCATTGTGTTGTATTATAGGAATCAGCTGACCCTACAGAATCTCCAGAGGGCACTCAGGTTTCGTGTTGTCGCAGAGACTAATCTACCAGG